AGGAGAGAGGAGAAATATTAACTAGAAACCCAGAGTGGAGTTAAAGACCACTTTATACCCCACAATTCAGTGTCAAATTCAGAAACATATGAAACAAATGTCTTTGTGCACCAACAGATCACCCTATAGGATAAAGAATGTCTTGGGAGAATGGCCAGGATGTCCAGAATTCATTCATCTGCATAGATCCAGGCAATGGCACATGAGAGAAAGCTTTTGAGTCCATTGCTTTTGAAGACCTGGGAGATGGAGCCCCTGTCCTCCGTCATTCTGGCCACACATCAAGTGTCCTCCAGCTCAGAGCAGTGCCATTAAAACACACTTGCTGACCCTCCACAGAAGCTCTGCTTCACTGCCTGGGAAAGGACCAGCACTTGGTACTTCTGCTGTGTTCCCTGCGCTGCAAATGCCTCTGACACCAGGACCAGCCTGGGCGCCCCTGCTCTGCATCCTGGGGAAGGGCACTGCCCTCACACGCCCACCTGGAGACAGCAAGGACACCACTTGTCCTCATCCCCTCAATTCCAGGACCCTCCCTCCCTCTCTGTCCTGTGCTCAGGCTCCCCATGGTCACACCTCATCTTCTCATCTCTGGGGTAACTCAGACCTAGACTCCAGCACACTCCTCTGCCCCACCCATCTCACTCTCAGGAGCTGCTCCCAGGCACCCTGTCAGGGCCAGCACTGGCCTCTGCTCCCTGTGCTCTCCCTGTGCCCATGTAAGTGTCCAAGTCTGTGCTTTGCTTCTCCCCACCCTGAACCTGCTCCAGGCTCCTTCGCTTGTCCCATCACCAGGTGAGCAGGATTCCTTATGCATTCTCTCTCCTGTCCCAGGGTCAAGGCAGCTACCTTACACTGTTCTCACAGTGACCTTCATTGCTGAGAAAATTCTCCAAAACAGGTAAATCCCATGTGAGTTTCTGCCTTGCCTAGAAATCTCCAAAATCCTTACTTTGCTTTCCTGGCCTCATAGAAGAACAAAATGAATGTGCCCTTGATTAATCTCAATTCTAGAAAAAGTTTTTGAAAAAGTGGAGTTTCACATTTTTTAAATGTGAAATGAGGGAGATATTTTATCATTAATGATTATATTTAAATGTAATAATATACACAAAAATGATAACATCACACAGTATATATTTAGAATTTTATTGCTTTCCTTTAAAAAGTCGTTTTGAGCAAGATATAAATAATTTGAAGTCAAAGAAAGAGTAAAACTACATCCAAATATTGAGTAAATAAGATTTTTTCAAAAAATAATTTAGAAAAGGAAAAATGAAAATAAATAACTTAGGACAAATTCCTGTCAAAATCCTCCATTCAAGGTCAACTATTAACTATTAACTTTGCAATTTAGCTCAGTTCTCATACTGTCTCAAGTCATTCATGTCAAATTTGGCTCCAAACCATGAAGATACTACGTGTGTAGGAAAGAAATTCACTTGGCATTTTTTCCTTAATTTTGGTTAAATCCGTTATATTTTTTGCCTTTCTATTTTGTTGATTTTTAAGTCACTTTCTTGACCTAAAACCCACATCCAGCTGGGCACACACCCATCATCCTGGGGGCTCAGGAGGCTGAGGCAGGAGGATCACAAGTTCAGGGCCTGTGTCAGTAACTTAGTGAGGCCCTAAGCCACTCATCGAGACCCTGTCTCTAAATAAAATTAAAAAGGGCTGGGGATGTGGCTCTGTGGTTAAGCTCCCCTTGGCTCAATCCCTGGTATAAAAAATAAATAAATGATATGCACAGCAGCAGCAGCACAGAGACTTCTTGCTTTCTCCGGTGGTCATCCACCTGTCCGCAGGTTTTCAGTGAAGAGATTTTGCTTTTTGCCGTCAAGTAAGCTCGGGACCCTTGCAGAACATGGGTTCACTGTAGATGGATTTCTCTTTCTATGCTGTTTAATTGCCTCCTGCATGTGTCTCCCGTATGCCATACACAGCCGTTGCTTCACTCTCAGATCGAACGTAGGCATTCTCATATGTTTTGAACTGAATCCTGCTGCAACCAGCCTTGGAACATCTGAAAAATCATTTACAGCCCAGAGAGGCTGGAGCGGCTCTCCACAGCTCATACTCACACCCAAATGTTCATATAGCTTTTTAAATGAAAACAAAACAAAACAAAAAAAACACCATCAAACTGCTGGAAGAAACACGGTGGTGGGGGCATGCTTAAGAACTTAAGTTGGAGGAAACTGTAGAAATCATAAAAGAAATAGAACACTGATAACTCAATGACCTATGTATCTCAAGTTTCCACCGTGGAAAAACAACCACGACAACAGTGACAACAATGTGAAGAGAGTCAGAGACAAGTGACAACGGGTGCGGATTATTTGCAACCCACAGGACAGAAGCATCACTCCCCACTCTGAAAAGGGGTCCCACAAACCAGCTAAAAACAACAGAACAGTAACATCAGAAATGGGGGGAGAACATGGACCATTCACGAAAGAAAAGACGAGATTTTTAAAGTTGTGAGCCATGGGCAAAGTCTCTCATTAAAAGAGAAATGAAAATTAAAATGCACTTGGATGCCAATGTTTTCTCCCAGACAGAAAGACCAAAAAGTTTCAAAATGCAGGTCTCGGTGTGAGGTAGCAGCTAGCAACGGACAGGGAAATGCATGGCAAGGTCACAAGTGTTCTTTAAATTACTTCAGGGTCTTTAAACTACTGAGAAAGCAAAGGGTGGTCGTTAATTTGTAGAAAATAAATGGAAGCAAAGGACCTAATGGGAAAATGCGTCAAAAGAGAAAGATTAATGGGACTAACTCTTGACAGGGTCCACTGAGGCTGGTGTGAAGCTAGGACTTATGGCTACAGGTGTCTCCATCTGTCTGGGAAGGAGGAGTCCTTTAGTAGCACTGAGATAACTAAGATAAGAGCTTCTGCCTGGCTGCTGACCCCAGGGCCCACATTAACAGGACTGACTTGTAGATGAAGCTCCCGAACAGGATGGCCACCATGACAGTGCCAGAGGGGACGAACCAAGGTCAAAAACTCTACCGCCCAGCGTGAAGGAGCAGTTGAACACCTGATTGGAAAGAGCACAGAAGGTGGCCCCAGCTGCCCTGGCAGTAATAAACCTGGGGACAGCGTTGTCTCCTTATTGTTCTCTGTATGGAGATGGCCCACTCTCTCTCTTGAGAGTGCTCCCTGCTTAAGCCTCATTGTGCTTTACTTTACTTTCTCCCCACTTTCACTTGCAATAAAGTTCTCCTGCCTGGGTTTTGGTGTCTGACTTCAAGTCTTCTTTCGTTGGAACACAAGAACCAAGGTTTGGAGTTTCAGCTCCCTGCTTTTCTGGGACATCAGGTTATATTCAACTATAATAAAGTGCAACTTAAACAGCTAAGGTTTTTCCCCAGTTCAAAATCAATCCAAACAGAGCTGGCCAAGGATGGGGTAGAGAGGCAAAGTCTTAAGCAGGGTCTTAGGGCCTCAGGTGACTCTTCTTCATCTTGCTGAATTGGTCCCAGTGACCCCAGGGTGGCTGCTGCCTCACCTGCCCCTGCATATGTGCAAACTGTGCCCTCCTCAAGGACACTGTGTCATTGGCAGACCATGCTTGGTGGCCACACACAGCTGGGACTTTTAGAATTTTAAGTGGCACATTGCTGCCTTAAACACAGGGAAGAAGGAAACAGGGCAGAAATGGGGTGATTGACAATAATAGTACCTTCTCTATTATCTCCTTCAGATCTGACCATTTGTGTCATACATATATGAATAGCATTTGCATGAGGATATTTGCTGAAGCTTTGATCCTAATGGTAAAACTTCAGGAAATGCAAATTGTATGAATTTATCAATAGTTAATAGATAAAAATAGTCAGATGAGCATGGCATGGATGAATACTGGAATTCTCCAACAACTCTCTACATACCATCACAAAGGTGTCTCTTAGATGTACGATCAGATGAAAAGACCAAAGTGCATAAGAACGTGCCCATTGCTTACGCTGGTGCCCGCTTGGAAGAGGAGCCAAAGCTCCAGCAAGAAGATTTGGGACACAGCTCCTCATGTGACAATGTTGCATCAGGTGGACAAGTTAACGTGAAAATTTGAACCAAAAATAATAAACATCTCAGATGGAAGGGCGGACAAGTCAGGACTTTTGACAATCAAGACGGAGAGAGGTAAATGACACGTGTCCCACTTGACATGTCTGATAGAGACCCTAATGGCATCTTAAAAGATTCTTACATCTTGAAAAATGTATATTTGGGTCCTGGGCCCATTTTTATTTGGTTGATTTTTTTAGGGGGTGGGAGGGTACTGGGGATTGAACTCAGGAGCACTCAACAGGTTGATTTTTGTTTGTTCTTTTTTGCTACAGAGTTGCATTCCTTACATATTTGGGATATTCACCACTCTCCAGATGTGTGCTATGAGAACATTTTCTGCCCTTCCCTAACCAGCCCCTCACTCTGCTGTCTGCTTCCCCCCAGAGCCTGGGAGGAAACCTTGAGGTCCGAGCCGATTCATCTGCCCATTTTTGCTTTTTCTCAGAGACACACAGTTTTGAATTGTTGCTCATAGCTCAATGAAGATAGAAAAATTGAGAGTCTTCAGCCATAGACAGCTCTCTACCTAGGATCCTGCTGAGTTCCTCTTACCTGTCACCTGATGAGGACACTGTGCGCTCCACTCTTGCTCCAGAAGGAGCCTGCTCACCCTATAACCTCGAAACCTGCTTCGGGACAGTGTAACAGCCCTGAGCCCCGCCAACCACTAACGCTGTGCTCTGGTGGGTTCCAGATCTGACTTCAGAATCTACATCCCCAGTGAGTTCAGACAATGTTCAGAACACAAGAGGCCTTTGTTCCCTGAACTTATTGAGCCAAAGTCCTTTCTCTTATTTTTTGAATGTTGAAAGTAAATGTTCAAGCAGATGGCAGACAGGAAAGACAGCAGACCTGTACATCAGCATCAGCTTGCACCTGGGACGGAAGCTCAAGTTGCCGGAAAAAGCTGATAGAAGGTGTAAGAGCAGTGTAACATCAAAGGGACCCGAGGACAAGGGCGGCCTCCTCCCCGCCATCTAACGCACCTTCTCTGAACACAGCCTCCAGCCCTGAGCCTGCTCCTCGCACACCTATAAATGCAGCCGGCTCCTCGCTCCACTCACACTCAGGCCCCTGCCTCCTCTCCTCCAGTGACTCCAGCCATGAGGACCATCGCCCTCCTCGCTGCCCTTCTCCTGCTGGCCCTCCAGGCCCAGGCTGAGCTTCTCCCAGAAAACAATGAGGAGGCCCCAGACCAGGAGCAGCCAGGGGAAGAGGACCAGGACATGGCCATCTCCTTTGCGGGGGCTGCAGACTCTGCCCCTCAGGAAGCAGGTGGGTGCTGCTGACATGCAGAGCATTGAGGTAGAGAGGGGAACCAGATAGCTGCAGGTTCAGTCCCAGCACTGGGCTCTACCTGTTTAGGTGATTACTTCCCTGGGCCTCAAATTCCTCATCTGTAAACTGACAGAAGATAATCAGATATCTACAGGACATTCCTCCTCCACAGCTTTTCAAAGTTATGAAAAGTCTGTGAAATTTGCCAACACAGTGTGTAGAAATATACTGAGGATCTGTCCTGCATTAAAGAGAGAGCTTTATTTTAAAGAAGATGGTTTGTCCTGTTAGAGAAGCTTTTAGAAACTTGATACAGGCCTAAGGATATGTTCCCATGCATGCATGATGGGGCAGGACCAGCAAAATGTACAGACTCGTGAGACAGGCTCTCAAATCCTGCGGGGACCCACCCTTGCCTGCATATTTATTCTCACTGGTTGCTGCTGATCCTTCCACAATGTGACACAGCCACCCTGACACACTCCCTCCATACAGCATGCAGGGTTCTGTCACCACCACTGCTGACCTCAGTGTTCTATGCCTGATGCTCTTTCTGTGTCCCCAGGCCTAAGGAAGAACTTGATCTGTCGCTGCAAAAGAGGGTCCTGTAATAGTCTAGAACAGTTCCATGGGTCCTGCCTCCGTGCTGGAAAGCGCTTCAGACTCTGCTGCCGCTGAGCACCCAGGACAGAGAGACCCAAGAGCCTAACTTGCCGTGAGACCTAGGAGGAAACTGTATCACCCGATGCCTCCTCCTCTTTTTCCTTTCCTTGTCCCAATTAAAGTCCTCATGGCAAGCCCCCTGTGTGCTCGCCTCTCTGTTGTCCTTGTGTCCTGCCTCCAGACGCAAACAACAAAAGGCCCAGACTTCTCTCAAAACACTGAGTTTAAGTATAATGTGATTCCGTTCTGCTCCATCTCATCCTACTTGGCATTCCGGGACTTGCATAGTTCTATCTGAAATTGTGCGCACTGAAGACAACCAGCCTTTTTTGTGTGTGAAATTTCATCAAAGTTCCAAGAGCAGTCTCAGAATGAGCAAGACTAGGGTCCCTCCCTAAAGCAGTCTGTTGGCCGTAAGTTCAAAGTGTCCTGTTTAATGAGGCACAATCACACACACCCATTTTATCACTGGTGGCTGAGTCAGACCCCAAGACTTGGAATGGGCAATGACTGACCGTACACCATATGTGCTCACAACAGACGGGCATTGTCTTTACTCGGCTCTGATAATTAACATAGAAAGCACATGTGTGCATCATATTGTAGTAGGAGAATTGAGCTCTTGGGACAAAGATTCAAGGTGCAAACCCTCTAACTTGACCACAGTCACCTCAGAGCTGAACCTAGTGCTATCAGATTAGGAGCACACCTTAATGACCTCATTAACCCTTAAGTGGCCCTAACAGGGCCTTGTCTCCAATGCTGTCATGTGGGTTAGGCTTTTACGTAGGGATTTAGGGGACACAACTCAATCTGTAGCATTGCCTCCGAGTAGCACAAGTCAGGAAGGTTGCCAGGAAAATCTAACCAAGTGGACATCTGCAAACACCCAGCCCAATCTGCTGACCAGGTGACTCTGGCTAAGCAGAGTCACCCACCAGAATGAGGAGTGACACCAGCTGGTCTGGTGGAGGAGGGAGCAGGGCAGCAAACTGGAGTGCACCAAGTGTCCCATTTCCACCAGGCCTCCAGACCCCACCCAGCTTCCTTAGGGTCCCGTCCCATTTCTGCACTAGGCAGATTCCCCCACAACCTCACCTCTCACCTCCATGGCCTCACACAGACACTAGTGGTCAGCATTGTTAACAGGTGACACAGTAGCTGTGCTCCCACCAGTCCACACCTCCTGCTCACCCTGAGTCCAGGAACCTGACCATAGCCACTCCACAACATGTTCTTTTTTTTTTTGCAGTTGTACATGGACAGAATGCCTTTATTTTATTTATTTGTGGTGCTGAGGATCAAACCCCGTGCCTCACACATGCTAGGCAAGTGCTCTGCCACTGAGCTAAAGTCCCAAACCACATTCTTTAAATATTTCTTCAACTCTGTTGCCTCACTCTAAAGTGGTTGACAGTAACTCGGTTTAGAGCGGGCAACACACTTGGAATTGTTCATAAATGCAACAAACATTGATCACTATGGACTGAGGGCTGGGATCCTGATTATTGGAAGTAGGATTTAGAAAAAAAAGAGTAGTCCAAGAAGACTCCTGGTTTTGGTTTTGATTCTAGCTCTTTTGGGAGTTCTGTTTGGTTTTTGCCTGACACAACTTTAACGTCACCATTTAGAGGTGGGGAAGCTGTAGCAAGGGTTGGTTAGAGAAACTCTGGGGATTTAATTTGAAGTGCCCATTAGATACTGAAGTGAAGATGCACAGAGGACCACTAAATACACACTCTGGAATCGAGAAGGGCCGGGCTGGAGGTATGAGGGGAACCATCAGGGTGGTGGCTGTGTTTAAGGCCGGGAGGCCAGAGGAGCCCACCAAGGGGTGGGTGTGGACAGAGAAGAGCATGCCAATTTCAGTTCTTCTGGATAAATACTGAGCAGTGGGTCCTATGGTGGTTCCCTTCCTAGACTTTTGAGAAACCTCCGTACTTATTTCCATAGTAATTGTACTAATTTGCAGATATTGGAGGAAATTGTTATGTGTACATATGAATATGTCACAATGAACCCCATTACTGTGTATAATTGTAATTATACTAATATAAATAGTTTTTAAAAATATACATAGATATTACTCAAAAGAAGAAATACAAATTGCCAACAAAGTTATGAAAAAAACTGCTCAATATCATTAGCAGTCAGAATGCAAATCAAAACCACAATGAGCATTCACTACACCCCAATTAGAATGGTGATTATCAAACAGAAAAACAAGTAGTTCGGGGTTGGGGATGTGGCTCAAGCGGTAGCGCGCTCGCCTGGCATGCGTGCGGCCCGGGTTCGATCCTCAGCACCACATACAAACAAAGATGCTGTGTCCACCGAAAAAACTTAAAAAATAAATATTAAAAAATTCTCTCTCTCTCTCCTCTCTCTCTCTCTAAAAAAAAAAAGTAGTTCTGGAGAAGATGTAGATGTCATGGGGTGGTCTGAACCCTTGCACACTGCTGGGGGAATGTAAATTAGCACAGTCTCCATGGGGAACTGAATAGAGCTTATGCAAAAACCTAAAAATATATCTACCATGTGACCCACTATCCAAGGGAAATGAACTCTCTATACCAAAGAGACACCTGCATGCCCCTGTGTGTGCTGCACCAGATACAAGAGCTGAGATACGGGTCCACCTAGGTGTCCATCATGGGGGGAGGGATGACATATACATGGGACAGTATTCGACATAAGGAGGAGCCATATTCTATCATTTGCTGCAAAAGTGGTGGAACTGAGGGGGATGATATGAAGTGAAATAGACACAGCAAGACAACTACCTCATGTTCTCACTCATGTGGGGGCTAAAAACAGTCACTCTAAATGTGAACTAGTGAGTCCTAGAAGTCAGGGAGGGGAAAGAGGAGGGCCAGAGGGAGATTGTGTGACCAGAGTCCAAGGGCAAAGGCCCGGCTCTGGTGTTCCCAACCAACCAGGCTCAGTCACCAGTCCCCACGTGCAATCAAAGAGATGAGCCGTGGTGAAGGGTAGAAAAAGGAGTTTCAGTCAGCATGGCCATGTGGGGGTCAGGGGGATATGGGGATAGTGACCAAAGATCTGTCCTCGGGGGTTGGCAGAATCACTGAGGTGTTGCAGAAAAGGGGAGCAAAGGCCAGGGCTGGGGCCTGCATGACTGCAGGGCTCGCTCAGGTGGTGGAGTAGGCCAGCCTGATCAGGCCTGCTCTGGCCGATGGTTATCTAGACACTGGCTCCGTGAAGCTCTGGACAGGCATGGTGGCTTGAGGGGTGATCTGGTTTCCATCCTGAGATCATGGCTCCTCTTTGGGGTGCAGCAATTGCTTGCTCCTGCTTAGGATGGTGATCTTGTCATGGGGTGGTCTGATCTGTGAGGCTCCTGTTGCTTAGGGATATTGTCGGTCCTTGTCCTAAAGATACTTATCAACCAAGCCTGGTTCCTAGAATCCAAGGTGACTGCAGAAGAAAGTGGCTCAGAAGAAAAGAAAAAAATTTAAAGAGGCAAGTGGAGTCAGAGAGGAGCAGGATGGAGCTGGTTAGGCCAGTGTGGGAGAGGAGAAATAAGTGTTCGACAGCACAGTGGATCGACCACAGTTCATGACGGCCTATTGTGTATTTTATAGATAACAAGAAGATAGCAGTTTGGGGGCTCCAAACCCAAAATAACAATAATGACATGGGGACATCAGTTACCCCGACCTCATCAGTACTGTCTATGCCTGTTGAAATAGCACACTGTGCCTCATAGCTGTGTACAGTTTATACAGCTTTATCAAAGGTTTTACAACTGTTTGAATTAGGAATGTTAACCACCCTGATTTAATCATTACTGTTTTGTACATGTGTCACATTATCCCACTATACCCCATAAACATGTAGAATTAGGATGATGGTAACAGTTGGTAGAGTGCCCTATGAGCATGGTTTCTCCAGTGCCTTGGCCCTGCCTGGCAGGAGGCCGTGGCAACAGGGCTGCTCGTTGGGAGGACTCAGGTGTCTTTGCTTCAGCCTCCTCAGCTGGGGATGGCAGGAGAAGGACCCCAGCTGGTGTCGCTTCCCTGATCCCCTGGAGCTTCATGGAGACAGGTCCCACGTGGAGCCAGGGGCTGAGGGAGGGTAGGTGCAGCTCCCAGCCATAGCCACGTCCTGGAGTCAGAAGGAAGAGAAAGTGGCGCCTGTCTCTAGGTGTCTGCCCAGAGCTGCAGCTGATGGTGGCCAGGCTGGACGCAAGAGCAACAGGTGCCCACCCAGCTCCCACACCAGGCACACCTAAGCGAATGTCACAGCGCTCTCCTGACCTCCTTCCCAGAGCACTGCCCCTTGCCTTCCCATGGAACCCCTGACCCAGAATTCCTCCTTTCTGCTCCCATATTTCTGTGACCAGACCCTGGCAGTAAGAAACTAGGGGAAGCTGGTTCCAAGTTCCAACCATAACCCATAATGTCAGCAGGGGGGTCACCATTGAGAAAGCTCCGCCCCACCTCTCATTTCCTTCTTAACACAAAGCCTGGCGAGGTGACGATTCCATTTCACAAATGAGGCTTGTGAGGTGAGGGAGCTCTGAGCAGGAACCAGCCGGGGTCAAGTGCTACCTCAGGCCCAGGAGGATGGAGTGCCAGCCTGGGACCGACACTGCAGAGGGAACGTCTCAGTCTCAGAACTACGGGAAACCCATCCTTTGAGGAAAGGGAGCATTACTTTGGGAGCCAGTCGACAAAGGGCACCAACCCTGAGAAGCGCTTTGTAATGGTAAGCATCAGGGTGGCTGGAGAGTTGGCCTCTTCTGGTGTTTCTGAGAGAGTGTTTCTGAATGAAATTAACGTTTCAGTCAGTGGAGTTTGAGCCAAGCAGGTTGTACTACCTAACGTGGGTGGGCCTCACCCAGGCAGTTGACGGTCTGGGTAGAACAAAGACTAACCTTCTCAGAACAAGATGGAATCTGCCAGCAGATGGCCTTTGGACTCTGCAACTCCTCCCCAGGTCTCCCCGAGTCAGACAGCCTCCTCCAGCAGAGTCCTCATGCTCTCACATCACATAAGCCAGTTTCCTAAAATAAAGAATTGCTTCTCTTTTCCTGAAGAACCCAAATCTGAGCAGGTGAGAAGGAGGACCCACTAAGAGAGGTCTCCAGAGAGCCCCACAGAAGTGGGCTGCAGC